CCCCAAAACCCCAAAACCCCAAAACCCCAAAACCCCTAATTAGTTAGCAAATATTGAATAAAGAAATATGGAATTTTATACAATGCACAGGAAGGTCCTGTCTTATGAAGGCCCACAGAGAGGCGACCTAGAGGAAACTAAGAAACTACTGAGCCTTGTTTCTAAGATTGAAGAGCAAGAGATTATTGAGCGTTACAAAGATGAACCAGAGCTCAAAGAAGATCAAGACATTAATATTCTTCAATATTTTCTTTTTACCAAGAGGAAATAATGCCCTGAATGAGGTTGTGCTCCTTGTTCAAGAATGGCAGAGAACTGTCAAGATAGAGAAGAACTTTGAAGCAAGAGATTGCCAGTTATACACAATTGGTAGCTACGCTCTAGGAGTTCTTGACATTGATTCAGATATCGATTGAGTGCTTGTTGCTCCTGAAGAATTTTCAAGAGACACAGATTTCTTTACTAATTTTGTAAAGCTCTTACAAGAGAATGAGAGTGTGTCTGATATTCTTCCTCTTCCTGATACTTATGTTCCGATAGTCAAATTTAAGTATAATTCATTCTCTTTTGACATCCAGTTTGCAAATTATGAAGATTGAGCAGATTTTGGAATATTTCAACACTTTTTAAGTAAGGATCTTGATAGAGGCTCATTGCTTGCAATAAACAGTATCAGAAATCTTGAGGCCATTAAAAATCTAGTTTGATATCCCAAGTTTCAGAATGTACTAAGAATGGTAAAGCTTTGGGCTAGGAAGAGAGGAATCTATTCAAACATCTATGGCTATCTTGGAGGTATTTCATGGGCTATCCTAGTTGCGCAGACATGAATTAGCTTTCCAAATTTTGAAATTAACAGACTTTTCCATATGTTCTTCAATCTTTTCGATGTTTGGAAATGGCCAGAGCCTGTCATTCTTACATCTATAGATATTCCTGAAGTTGAGGACATCAATTTGGATTTGAATGTTTGGAATCCTAACCTTAATTACGATGATGCAGAGCACATAATGCCAATTATTACTCCTTACTACCCTCAGTTTAACACAAGTGTAAAGGTAATTCCTGCAACATTGAGTATAATTAAAAAGGAATTTCATCGTGCTTGAGGATTCTTGAAGAGCAAAGAGGAGAGTTTAGACACAAAGATCAGTCAGCTCTACGAACCATATGATATAACTGACGACTTCTCTCTATTTCTCAGATTAGACATGATCTCAAGCAAGGAGGATATCCACAGGTGGTCCGGAATTATCCAGAATAAGCTAAGAGTGCTTTTGCTCTCACTGCAAAATATCAAGAATTTAAGTTTCAGGCTTATCCCTCAAGTTTACAGAACTGATGACACTTCAGAAACTTTAGTTATTGGGATGAAGTACAAGAAGCCAAAAGATAAACCAGAACTGAAGGAATCTACAGACAATGGTAATGTCCAGGATGCTCCACCAGTCGAAGAGTCTAAGCATCAAACACAAAATGGAGTTCTAGCCCAAAAGACAGGTAATTTCAAGCTTGATTTGTCTGTACCGATATTAGGCTCAGGCGAAAAGAATTTAAAGGAAGATTCGATACCACTTTCAGTAGAATTCGATCATAAGTGAACTCTTTCAGAAACTCTTGATATCAAAGAAGAAGTAAAGAGCTTTATAGAATGAGTTCAAGGCCATAGAAGCCTCCTTTGCGGTGATACTATTAAGATCAAGTTGGTAAAAGACCTTGATGATCTAGCTGCTTAATTACCACCATAAATATGTATCCCTATCATAATAACCCCCTTTCAATTATTCTTTGAGCTATTGGGGTTTTGGGGTTTTGGGGTTTTGGGGTTTTGGGG